TGTTCCCCATGTTTTTCAAAAACTTTTTTTTTTTTTTTTTTTTTGCCTTAAAGACTAGTAGTAACATCTTATGATTTAGAATAAGTTAATTGTAACCATAGGTATTTATTGATTGGAGGAAAGGAGGGTCTTATTGTTTTCGGCTTTATTTATGTAACATTTGCTAGCTTGTAAAAGGCGAGTAGGAAATACTGCATCTGCATTTTCTAAAGCTGATTCATGCAGCTACCCTTGCCACAGTCGTGATGGATAGATAGGTGTTCTTGCACAAATCCGAGGGAATGGTAGGAGAAGACACATTTAGCCAACCACTTAAACTAATTGAATGTATCAGAAGTACTGAAGGGACTGGAGAGGGTTTCCTCAGATAAGGTGTGCAGAGGTGGCCCCCCAAACAATAGCGCACATGTGCACTCTCTGTGAGGCCTCAAACTTCTCCCAGGGCCCCTCCCTCAAATCTCCATGGAAAACTTGACCCGGTGGCTGGTTGCACTTTGGTGATCCCGGTGGTCTGAACACCCATTCTGTGGAGAATTGATTGACATAAGCTGTGTATGCACACACACACACACACACACACACACACACACACACATCCTGTCCCACCCTACACTGACCCTCTATTGACACATGGACCCTGTTTCCTGGCAAATGGCCTCTTGAACCCTGACTTTTTGTGTACATAGTTGTAAACACGGATTTTTGTGGGTTTTTGGTTTGCTTTTTTCTTTTTTTCCCTCTCCCCCTGTTTTGGTCTGTTCCTTGGGGGTTGTGTTTAATCTACTAGAATTTTTTCTTTTTTTCCCTCTCCCCCCCTGTTTTGGCTTGTTCCTTGGGGGTTGTGTTTAATCTACTAGATGGATGTCTACAGAACTCTTCCTGAGAGTCCACCTCAGTGTCCCACATGCCCAGTGGTGAAGGGAAAGTGAAGGAAGCACCTTTGGTCTCCCAGTTCTGTCATGCAGCAATCCCTGGGCACCGGCAGCGTTCGCTTTCTTAACAGCAATGAAAAGCTGGCTTGCCTGTGGCGGCTCACTCCAGCTGGGAGTCTGTCAAGGCCCACGGAGGGAGCGACTAAGTACTCAGAAACATGGCACGTTTCTGTAGCTGCTTCTGGCTGGCTGTGTTTCCTGTTGCCAAGGGCTGGCTTGTCCAGATTATGCCTCGCTCGACCTTCTTGGAACAGGGCCAGCTGGTTCCCACTTCTGTTAAACCTAGGGTGGGTGGTGGCTCTGCCTGGAACGGGATGGGAGGCCAAGCCTAAGTCCAGGACACTTTTAGGGGGCCTTGCCTGCTCCTCCGTCCCAGGTGTTGTAAAGGCCAGCATTCCAGCAAGCACCTGGGAATGGGGTGTAGGATAGAGATCTCCCAGATAAATGATGGGGTGCTACCAAGGCTTCTCAGAGTGCCTGGCTGGAAGGGGGTGAAGACCAATTCCTCCATAGGTATGGGCCCTGTGACAGCTGATGAAGATGGAAGACCTTCATGTGGTCCCCAGGGTCTTTTAGCACGAAGGAGCCTGCATCATGCCCCATTGCATGTCGGAGTGAGGCCCAGCCAGAGTGACTCATCCAAAGTTGCACACGTGAAAAGTGGACCAGAATCCAGAAGCCTGTCACCCTTAAGTATCATGCCCTCCCCCTTCCCGTGCTACCCCTGGAAGTGTCTACTGGGGTTGGGCTGCACAGCTTTGCTCTGGACACCTCCCTCGGGCATCCTGCAAGCCTCGCCAGCCTTCTGGTTCATGCCTTTGGTAAGCATTTTCACGCCCTCTCTGCTTCCTGTGACAGTCGATGACAAACCCTGTGTTGCCATTTTTTGCTGTGGGTAACTTACGTGCTATCTTATCTTGCTTTCTCTTCTCACGGTTTGGTTTTGTGTTACAAACGGAAAAGCTGTTCAAGGCTCCCATCCCACCTCATTCCTACTTCACCCCCCTCCCCCCACACTGTACCTCCTTCTCACCCCACCACAGAAGTTACCACAGAAGGTTTCCTTTGTATAGAATATTTATTTTGAAGCTCTATTTTAATAGTATTTATTTTAGAAAGTCTACTATTGTAAGAGTTCTTCTGTTTGTGAAGAAAAAAACAAGTTAAAAACTGAATGTACTGATCTAGAAATATATATATAAATATATATTGTTAAATATACACAGGACTACCGCTTCTCATGTGTTTGTGTGTTCACTTCCCCAGCGTCACCGCCCAGCAAGGTCCCCAGATTGTCAAAGAACACTCTGGCCACACTGCACTACATGGAAATACCTATCAAAGGGACAGGGAGAGAAGGGCTTCCTGGGCTGGAGCAGTCTCTTATCCTGCTTCTAGGATGAGTTTCTCTCCCTTAATTTGCCTGAGAGCGCATGTGCTCACCTGAGAAAGAGGGAAAGTGACAAAGCACCTTATGCCAAGATCCCTCCTCCATTTCTTCCCTTATCTGGGATTCTGGGCACTTAACCACCAACCACCGAGACACACACTTAGTGCCTCAAGAAGCCAAACAGAAAAGCCCTTGGAGATTTCCTTTTTCTCTGAATTTGTGGATCTTGCACAAAACAATAGCTCCTTTGGCCTCTGAAACCTTCTATTCACTAAGTGTTTTGTCTTTGATGCCCTCCCCTTTATTTTTACACATATTTTTAGTTTGCTATAGGGCATATTCACTCACCAGAGAGAGAAAAGTGAGAAATCATCCCCTAGGGTGGTTGGCCATACCACAGTCCCTTCTCTAATCTCCTCTTGGGATCTTGGGCACATGCGTGCACGCGCACACACAAAACAGCGTGCACAGCATGTTTTCAAGCCACTGGGCCCAGGACTGATCACATGGTGGGCCATGTTGGATCCAGCCGCCTTAACTTCCACAACAACTGCTGGCCCCCTAGACTCCTTTTTTTTTTTTTCTTATTCTGCTATAGGGCGCGTGCGCTCGCCAGAGAGACATAGAGACAGAAAGTGAGAAATCACCCCCTGGGGGGGTGGTCACGCCGCAATCCCTTCTCCATTTCTCCCTACTTTGAAGATTTGGGCACCTATGCACATACACCCAGTGTGTTTCTTAAGCCACCGGGTCCAGGACTCGAACCACGGCCGACTACGTGGGAATCCAGCGACATAGCCATTATGCTAACTGCTGGTTCCCTTGACTCCTCTTTTTTTAAAAAACAATTTTATTAGAGTGCACATATGCTCAGCAGAGAAATAGAAGGGGGAAACCTCCCACCTTCCATAAGAAATAGTCACATGCAATCCCTTCTCCATTTCTCCCTACTTTGAAGATTTGGGCACCTATGCACATACACCCAGCGTGTTTCTTAAGCTTCCAGATCTGGGACTTGAACCACATAGTTGGCCATTTGGGATCCAGCCACCTTAACCATTAGGCTGTGGGCCAGCCCTGTCTTTGCCCTTTGAATGCACAGTCCATCTGATTCTCTTGCCCTCCTCATCCCTACCCACACACCTGAATTTACTAAGACGTGGCCACTTCTCAGTGTGCATAGCTGTGGGAACTTTTTCATATCTTTATTCATATGTCAGTCATGAAAGTTAGCCTTTATTTTATTTATTTTTTCAAGCTGCAATGGTCCAGTTAACTGCACAGTTGACCATGTGGGATCCAACACCTTACCCTCCACACCACTGCTGACCCACTTCGACTTTATTTTGAATGTATGCACACTTGCCTCTTATTTTCTGAAAGAAAAACTTGAAATTTTGTTACCAACAAGTGGAGGGAGATGACCAACATTGACGTGGGGGTGGGGAGGAGGTGGTACGGGTGGGGGAGATCCAAATCCAGGATCCGGTTCTTGGTTCTGCTGGGGGACACCAATTATAACCGCTCAGATTCCCTGTGAAATGCAAGTCCTGAGTTCTCTTGGAGGCATCCATACACATGACCGGGATCCCCTGGTCACTCCCAGGAAGGCACGAAAGACTTTGGTGAATGTGGTATCGTCTGCTGTAGAAGTTTGCGACAGCATGCAGCGGGTCCCATTCCCAGAGGGTGGACAAAGGTTCATGAGTCTCCCCACAAGGCAAATTAACGCACTTCAGGATAATTCTTTTTCATCTGTTCGGTCCTAGTTAGGTACATCACACTTTGAGTCAGTCTTGAGTGTTCTTGTGGGTATAGGCCTACCCCTGATTTTACTTTAATTATTTCTAGTGTTTTGAGGTGTTTGTTTTTTAGAGATTTTTGCTGTAGGATGCACGTGCTCACCAGAGAGACAAATCAAGAAGTCATCCCCTCCAGGGGGATGGCCACACCCACAATCCCTTCTCCATTTTCCTCTTAGGATTTTAGGCACATGTACACACGTGTGCCTGGCATGAGTTTCAAAGCTGCCAGGTCCGCGACTCAAACCAGGGTCAACCATGTGGGAATACAGTGCTTTAACCACTATGCCACCTGCTGGGTCCTAGCATTCAGAGATTTAAAGTGACAAGAACCTGAACAGGGTTTTGACTGATTCAAGTCGCACCTACCTAAATGCTCTTGGGGAAATAGCTAAACCAAGTCCAGAGAAAAAGTTAAATGGGAGCCTCTCTTCTTTTTCTCTACCATCTGGCCCTGTTCCTTGGATCCCAGTTAG